AAAAAGTAAAATGATTTTATGTACTTTGGAACTTTTAAAAAAGAAAAAAAAGTTATAAAGTAAAAAAAAAGAGTTTGCTGCAGCTGCAAAAAATAAAAAAAATAAATAAAAAAACGTCCACTAGAGGGAAGAAGTTAAAAATCGAAAAGGACGGTTCACGAATTATACAGTGGGTAAAAAAGCCTTGTGCTATTCTCTAGTCTTTTTCATTTCTCAAGGTCCCCCACCCACCCCCTCCCTATATTTTCATGCTTACACTTTTTTTTTTTTTTTAAAATTTCATGCTTCAATTTTTCTTCCTACGTTTAAATTTGTTTATCTGATTTCATTTGATACAAATTTTTAAGATTTATTTTTGCAAAAATAATGAAAAAAAGAAGTGAGATATATAAATTGAGACAAATTCTTTGATCGGTTACTTGATTGCACATAGATATCTCTTAAGCATCGAGTCGTTTTTTTATTTACTTGGAAAATCTAACTTAGAATGGAGCTCTTTTAGTCTTACGATCATTTGGTCATATAATTTAGATTTCTTATGAAATTTACTAAATGAGCAAATGTAGTTTCTAAACAAGATATTGGAATATACGAAGACGCCATATTGATAATTACATATTTTTATATGTTGTGTTATAAATAAATGTTTGTGATTACAAGTTTTTAAATATACATAAAAATTAAAGATATGTTAGTTAACAACAGTAATAACTAGTTATTTTTAGAGCAACTTTCACATATAGCAACCATAAAAAATATATTTGTATGCTATAGCTATTAGTTTGTATAATTGCGCTCAATAACAAACTTTATGTTTGCTATGGCTATTTCGCTATACATATATACAAAAGAAGCAATTGTATAATTTGTTTCGATATACATATACAAAAGAATCAATTGTATAATTTGTGTTTGTATAAAACGAGAAAGAGAGAAAGGCAAAAGAGAACTGGCAGAAGAATATTTGTATTGTATAATTATAAGTGTATATGACGAAGATATATGTATTTTGCATGTGTATATATAATTTTCTTTCGCTTATACAAATAGAAACACAATTTGTACATTTTTGTTTGTATAAAGCGAGAGAGGTAAGGGAGAGATTGACGAGCGAGATCTGGGAGAGAGGAACGAAAATATATGTATATATACAATTTTCTCTCGCTTTATATGTCACGACCCAGACCATCGTGATTGGCACCCACACAAACCCTCCGGTGGGAGAACCATTACTACAATCCAAACAAACAAATTTTATGAAAACTAAGGCATTTAAATATACGGAAGCAGGTTTAAATGACTATAAAAATGGAGTCCCCATAAACTCCAAGGTTTTAACAAACAACTAACCAAACTAATGCGGAAATTCAACCCCTAGAACCTGAAAGAACTGGCTTACCCTTGAATCTGATCTCGCTCAATAGTCACTTAGCTGAGGTCTATCAATAGCCACCTGAAGATGTCATATACTCAACAAAGAACAAGCAAGTGCAATATCAATACACAACTATAGTTTACTGGTAGGATCACGCAGCTATCCCAATAAGTGAAACACACGCAAGTAACCACAACATTATAAAACAGAAATATACCAAACATATACAATATTAGTCATATTTTCATAATCAATGTAGCATTCCACGTTCTCAATAATACACATTGGTTATCAATTTAGAGCGACATACCATCTTTCAATATCAATCATCATTAAATATGAATGTAATCATCACAAGTAGATACATAACACAATTCAATGGTCCTTTCACGAAACTCAATTCAACGGTCCTCTCATGAAATCCACACCCAAACTGTTAGCATACCGGACGTGGTACCTGATCCAATGTTTATGCCAGAACATGGTAACCGATCCAATAATTATGCCGGAACGTGACAACCGATCCCATGTTTATGCCGAAATGTGGCAACCGATCCAAGTTAGTGTGTCAAAACACAACACCTGATTCATTCAACAAACCACAATCACAATCACAATGTATATTCTTACAATCATACAACAAGAGGTGATTCATGACATACAATTCTTCAATTATCCCCATTTACGATTAGGGTGATCAATAATGCAACATTCGTATACATACATGCATTATAATGAGCAATTACAAACATATATCACACCAATATGAAATCACAACCATCACCTACCTCGAATCCAAGCTTGAATCCCCTACGACACTTGAATCCTCCCTTTCCGGATTCTTTCCGCTTGTTCTAGGTCTACAAACAACAATTTATACGCAAGGATCAATAATCAAAGGTCTAATTATTCAGATTATAACAAACCCAATAACCCTAGACCAAATCCAAGATCCTAATACCCAATTTAGGGCTTTTTCCCACCACAAATCACAGATCAAAACCTTTCCCCATCGATAATTACCCAAGAAACTAAGTTCTACGGATCAAAACACGAATTCGGAGGAGTTAAAATCTTACCTTTAGCCTTAAACATGGTGAAAAATGCAAGAACTCGTCTAGGGTCGTCTCATAGCTCTCAAAGTTGAAAAGTGCAGAATAAAGACATTCTGGGGTTTATTTACGACCTTAAGTCGCGTTGGACCCGCCACAACGGTCCTCACCCCGCTACAGCGGCCCCGCCCTGGCGGCAGAAATCCTACCCCAATGGCTTGCACAGAACCAATGAGCTATTTTAATAATTCCAAGACCTCCATTTCACAACACACTTTTAACCAACGACGCTAAAAAAATACCGTTCACGCTAAGATCGTTTTTGGGAGTTCTACTTATCCGAATTCAATTCCGTAAAGTCGTACAGATTCCTTAACCACCTATCTAACCACTCATGTAATCAAAATCATAAATAAGTCACCCAATTGCTACCAGATTTCTCTAGACCTTACTAACTCCGATTTCATCCAAATTTGAACTAAGCTAGAAAATCTCAAGTTACTACGAAAAAGTTTTATGTCCCCAATTCTTTCTCCATTGATTTTTCCCTAACGACAGAATCAGGTCGTTACATTATACAAACACAAACACATTTTATACATTTGCATTTGTATAAAAGCGAGAGAGGCGATGAAGAGACTGCCGAGAGTGGCGAGTGAGATTCACCAGGGAGAGAGACGAAATAGCAACAATTTGCGACGAGGTACAATTAAATCAAACTGTGGTTATGACCTTTAATTTGAATTAATAGTTTGCTATTATATACAATTTTCCTTATTGTTAATATAATACTTTCACATGGTACAAATAATGTCACCAATCCAAGTAAGATCAGTCATTTTTCTTCTTTATTTTTTTACAGTTTTTTAAATGATGTTTTTTTTTTACAAAATATAAACTTTTGAGAATTTAATATTTTTTTAAAATTAAAATAACGATTAGGAAGGATATTCCTTTCAAATCATGCTTGTTGGAGAATTTGAGACAATTTCAAATCGTTTGTTTAAATACTATTTGAACTCACGATTACATATTGTATATTAGATTATTTCTTAAACTTAGAATTCTAATCTTACGGTGTGTCAATGGTTCGATTATCATTTCATTTTCTCTTTGATATTGACATGATTTAGTTAATTTTTTACACTCTTTAAAATGCCATGTAAGAGACGTCACAAGCCTAAGTTAGAACATGATAATATTTCATAGGAATTTGATAAAAACTCTCTCGGTTATTTTTGTGTTTAAAAGGTAGTGAGTCAGGGGAATATAAATCATAATGATAGAAATTCATCTAATTACTTTATTGTACATATAAAGACAAAAAAATTATTATACGAGTGGAAAGAAGTTATCCAAGATAAAACTCAAAAATTACTAAGATTAAATATTCAATAAAAGCAATTTAAATCATAAAAAAAATATTCTTAACATCTTGTAACTTGAAATACCTTATATTCTAATTTACTATTCAAAAACTAGAACTAATTTAATTTCAATAAAAGTAGCATAACAAGTTTCGGAATTGGACTTTGATTGTCCATTACCTACTGTCTTGTATCATTTTCATCCCCCAATGCTCAAAGTGAAAAATGTAATATATTATTATTTTCAAATTAAAATATAAAAAAATATTATTTGGTATGATTAATTATTTTTTCAATTTATTTTCATAAAATAAAAAATCTATCTGAATCTATTTTATGTTTATAATTTTATATAAGAAACTACGTGTTTATTAAAAAAAAAGACAACAACTCAATACTCGATACAATAGGATGTAGTTCAATCGACTACTTCTTCATCTTTAATTAAAATTCAGAGTTCAAGTTCTTCGGAATATAGAGTTGCATCTTGTTAAAAAACACTTTACCTTCAATGTGAGATTTTTCGATGCGAATTCAAATTTAATCAGACTTCAATATGAATATCGAACAACAAATAAAAAAAATCAAATTATTATCTTTATTGTGAGATTATTATGTTTAAGATTAGTGTGTTTAAAGTTTATGTTTGCAGTTTTATATAATTAATATTTTCAAAGGACAGACCAAATGATAAGAAAGACATTTAAACATCAGTTTTCACTATATTTGCATTGTTGTGCAATTGAATTTTGATTTTGTATAATGATTTTGTATTACTGTTCAATTAACTTTTCATTATAATAAAACATATTATTTCAATAAATAGCTCAATTATCAAAAACTCATAAATCAACATGTAATATATAAATCCAATTCATAAGCTTCATAATTACTATTGTTAGTAAGCGTTTGGTCATATGATTTTGAACCAAAGTTAAATATTTTGAAATCAATGTTTATTTAAGAAATTTGCACGAAATTTAATTTTAATTTTAAAGCAAGATTTTTATTATGTAATAAAAATTATTTATTCTTACATAATCTTTTCAAATATGGTGCAGAAAAAAACGGAAAAGAAGTTTTTTTTTTTTTTTTTGCAGTAAACTTTGAATACTCAACTCTGGTTAAATTTTGACCACACCCACCCCCTACCCCAATTCCAACATCATCACATAATAAAACCTTATCTTCTCTGTAGAACACTCACACACACACTCTCTCTCCTCTTTCTCTCTCTAAAACACAGCAAATCTAAGCTCGTTAATGTCGATTCAGATCTGAGAGAAGAAGAAGAAGAAGGAAGAAAAAGGACTACTGTAAATCTCGAGTTCACTGTGAAATTACACTTTTGCCCTTCCCCCTCCATTACCGTACAACAATGGCGTACGCATTCCCGGAGGAAGTACTAGAACACGTCTTCTCCTTCCTCAACTCCGACAAGGACCGTAACGCAGTATCACTAGTCTGCAAATCATGGTACGAGATCGAACGGTGGTGTAGGAAGAGAATATTCGTTGGAAACTGCTATGCTGTTAGCCCTAGGATCATGATCCGACGGTTTCCGGAAGTCAGATCTGTTGAGCTTAAAGGGAAGCCTCATTTTGCTGACTTTAATCTTGTACCGGAAGGTTGGGGAGCTTATGTGTATCCTTGGATTTTGGCTATGTCTAAATCTTATCCATGGCTTGAAGAAATTAAGCTTAAGAGGATGGTAATTACTGATGAGTCGTTGGAGTTGATTTCTAAGTCGTTTAAGAACTTTAAAGTGTTGGTTTTGTCTTCATGTGATGGGTTTACTACTGATGGACTTGCTGCTATTGCTGCTAACTGCAGGTGAGTTATTTTTTCTTGCTTGACATTTCTCTTCTGTTTTGCTCACTGTAAAGTAGCTAGTGGTGAGAGAAGTCTTAATCTGTAAAGTAATTAGATCTAATTTTGGGTATTAGTTTGGACAATGACTTTTATTGTTGTTAAAGCTTAAGCTTTTGGATGAATGCAGTATGCATGCATTTTGGGGGTTTGTTATAATCCCTTGCTAAACACGAGAATGAAGAAGCACTTTTCTTGCAGCTGTTTGTTCTGTTTATAGGATATGTTATATATTAGTGGAAACGAAGTATCTACTTTAGATGAATTCGTAGTTTGTGAAGTTGAAGAACCGTCATTTCTTCAAGTGATTATGGTATTATTGGATACGTCTTGCTTCTACATTGCATCAGTCTGGTTCATCTGACTTTAATACTTCAAAGATTAAGAGCTTTTTGTTTGTTTCTTTTAGCTTCTTTTTTTTGGGGTGAACTTCTGGGAATTAATTTTTCGGATTTTGATTGAATGAGCTGATGTCAATAATTTCTTGTACTTCCTTCCCCAGAATTCTGCATTTGCATTCTATCTTTATAGATCTCTAAGGCCTTATAACAGAAAATGCCAACTTGTGGGTTTTCTTAATTGTTATAGGATTTAAACAGTTGGACTTCCTTTTAGCATTAATTTCTTGTGGTATACACTGTGTAAACATGCCCTTTAGCTTTGCTTTGTTTTGAAGTAGTTGGAGATTTGAATGTTATCTTAATTATCTGGAGATTTCCTTATGTCTGTTTCTTGGTTCTCTGGTGGGATTCATTTGTTTTATCAGGAGGGAGTTTTGTTATGGAGTATAGCTGTAGTTCAATGTTGAAATGGTTAAGTGGGTTAGGAATAGGAAATGGTGATTTATTGAAATTCCAATTGAAAGATGTGTAGCTCTGAGGCAAACATGATTCTAAATCTTTCTTATTTATCTTGTTCATATCGTCTGTCAGTTATTATCATTTGTTGTTTTCTGTTGAGTCTGTTGATTTGCTTTAATTTATCATAGAATAATTGTGTAGATCGGTATTGTCATCTAACTCCCGTTTTGCTGCAGGAATCTGAGAAAACTAGACTTGGGGGAGAGTGAAGTGGAGGACCTTAGTGGGCATTGGTTAAGCCATTTCCCTGATAACTGTACGTCACTTGTATCACTTAACATTGCCTGTTTGGCTTCTGAGGTCAGTCTGTTAGCTTTGGAGCGCCTGGTTACTCGCTCTCCTAATTTGAGAACTCTTCGGATAAATCGTGCTGTGCCCCTTGAGAGGCTTCCAAACTTGCTCCGCCGCACTTCCCAGTTGGTCGAATTTGGTACAGGTGTTTTCTCTGCTGATGTGCGATCTGATTTTTTCTCAAACCTGACAGAAGCTTTTTCGAGCTGCAAGCAACTTAAATGCCTGTCTGGGTTTTGGGATGTTGTACCAGCTTACCTTCCAGCTTTATATCCAGTGTGCTCAAGACTCACCTCCTTGAATTTGAGCTATGCTACCTGTCAGAACCCTGAGCTTGGCAAGCTCATAAGTCAGTGTCACAATTTGCAGCGTTTGTGGGTATGTTCTAAATGTTTTGAAGTCTTAATTGATGTTCTTGACACTGCAACTGCAAACATGTTTTTTTTTTTTTAATAAAGAAGAAGAGGCAATGAGATTGTAACATCATACTTGCTGTGATGACATTTAGTATATATTCTTAGTGAAGAATAAGAAAAGACCTAACTGCTACAGATCAACCAATCAACCACAACTTAATCCCAATTTAGTTGGTCTCAGCTTTATGGGTCCTCTTAAACCATTTTGCTATATTCAGGTCATTTTTGTTCCGATGCTAAATTATTTCTCTTTATGCAATAATTGCCAAGGATAGGCAAAAAGTAATTCATTCTGTAGATAAACTTCACCTATGCTGGTTAGGAAGATTCCAGGCTACATATATTTGATATTATATTGCTAAGCAGCTCACTTTCTTTGGAAGTTGAAGCCAAGTGTTACATGCTTCATATTGTGATCTGGGTTTCAGTTTTTTAATACTTGTGCCTACCCAATGCACGTAAAAATCCATCTAAATGTGATGGTTCTATGCTGAAAAATTGTATCTATTCTTCCCTAGTGGCTTCCCCAAACTGGTTCTGTAATATAAACTCCAGTATCATGTTTAAGTGCTGAATTGCTTTTCTTGCAATATATGTGACTGCAGGTGCTAGACTACATTGAAGATACTGGTCTTGAGGAACTTGCTGCCAATTGTAAGGACCTTCAAGAGCTGCGGGTGTTTCCTTCTGACCCATTTGCTGCAGAACCAAATACAACCTTGACGGAGCAAGGCCTTGTAGCTGTCTCAGATGGCTGCCCAAAGCTCCAGTCTGTTTTATACTTCTGCCGCCAAATGACTAATGCAGCTTTAGTTACTATTGCTAGGAATCGACCTAACATGATCCGTTTTCGCTTGTGTATCATTGAGCCTCGAACTCCTGATTATTTAACCCTTGGTTCATTTGATACTGGTTTTGGGGCCATAGTAGAGAACTGTAAGGAATTGCGGCGACTTTCACTTTCTGGCCTCCTTACCGATCGTGTCTTCGAATACATTGGCGCCCATGCTAAAAAGTTGGAGATGCTTTCCATAGCTTTTGCTGGTGATAGCGATTTGGGACTCCACCATGTTCTCTCTGGTTGTGATAGCCTTCGGAAGTTGGAGATCAGAGATTGTCCGTTTGGAGACAAGGCTCTTTTGGCTAATGCTGCAAAGCTCGAGACAATGCGATCCCTTTGGATGTCTTCTTGTTCAGTAAGTTTTGAAGCATGTAAGATGCTAGCTCAGAAGATGCCTAGGCTTAATGTGGAAGTCATAGATGAGAGGGGTCCTCCAGATACAAGGCCAGAAAGCTGTCCTGTGGAGAAACTTTACATATATCGAACTGTGGCTGGACGAAGATTTGACACACCTGGTTATGTTTGGACAATGGATGAAGATGCAGCTGTAAGGTTGACCTGAGCCACACATCAAATGGAAAATTCCAGCAAGACTTCACATGGAAAGATGGGCAGGTATTAGCGCTATGTTTATCCTCCTGCATTTGTTTGTCACGCCTTATGTAGTTGCAGTGCCAGTTGAGGGTTGGAACTTCACTGCTTTGAAGTAGAAGCTCCAGAGCTCATACGCCATCAATTTTATTCTTGGCTGAGAGCTACTTTACAGCAGGTAGTTTTTAATAAAGAGTTTGAACTCTGAGTTTCTGTGTATCATCTAGAGTAACAATTATTCGTTTTCTTTGGGTGGGATTTTGCTTGGGGGGTTTGGGGGCATGTTTTTGCCATGTATGTGCTATTTCCAGACTTTGCTTCATTATGTAGTTCCCTTTATTTATTCTATTGACTTACTCTCTATGAAATGGAGTGTCTTCAAAAATGTTAGTTTAGCTCTTTCAGTAAATTAAGCACATTGTTGAAAGGGAGCCTTGACGCAATAGTAAAAGATCAAGGATTCAAGACAAAACTCTTCGATCTGGTGTCCTTGGAGCTTAGTGCATTGGGCTGATCCGGGTATCAGCCTTTTAACTTGACAAACTCTAAATTACCCTCTTACCAACATTCAACATCTACAAAATCTGTAGGCTTTTGCTTACTTTTACTTGAACAGATACGAAGAAATCACTTAGTTTTTGTTGGAACTCGCGAATATGTCTTCCATAGTTTTTTGGCTAGGAAGCAACATGCATGTTCACACTACCCATTACCTATGTTTATGGATGAAACATGGTAATTTTTGTTATTACCTGGTATCTGTTGCTAGTTGGAGGTTATAGGTATCTTGTTGAATTAATCGAAAAAGTAATAAATGTTGAGTCATTTTTTGTTGAATAGTGGAGCATGTGAAAGATTCCATCTTGGGAGATATATAAGGAGATTATTACTATAACATTATTTTGTGTTCACAACTTTTTGAGCATTACTCTCTCCTTTCCACTATAACTTGATAGATGACTAGTCAAAACAATCCAAAAAACAAAAAGATGAAACCAAAACATGTTGAAATCTCTATAGGATAATCTTACAATTATTGTAGCCACAAATTTAATGAAAATAAGATGTGGATATTTTGTTCTCTATTATGCATTTGAATAGTACCAAATAAAGACAGAAACAGTGAGACAGACAATAATATAACAGACACCTCATCTGGCAGAAAAGGCTGAATCTCCATCAACCTCCCCACACACAAAAAATTATAAAAATAAAAGTAGTGGTATACTAATACACTACAGATATTCCAGAGTAAAAGAAAGCAAAAGCTGGAATCTCTGTCTCTGCTCTTTCTGTCTTTTTCTTTATTTATCATACTCCTCTCTCCACTCTCACCCTCGTTAGCTCGTTTATATTATCTGTCTCCAATTCAAATAAATTGAAACTATGATAAAATTTCAATGAGTATATTTGAGAAGATTTTTTTAATTGACTTACGATGATGCTTGCATGTTTACTTTTTTGGTCTATTGATTTATGACTATCATTATATTCATTATTGCTTATTCGTTTCATCATTTTATTCTTAATATTATTATTATTATCATTACAGTTTTATTTTTCAACCTTTGGCTTTGGATTCTCTTTAATCTTTTTCTCTATCATTCTTGCATAATAATGACAATGATTAAATCTTGCTACTTGAGTTTTGCATTTTTAGTGGCTTAAAATCATTTCTCATTTAAGCTTATATTTTGTTTCATAATTATTTTGAAAAATAAAATAAAATATCTCTTCATCACTAACTACTCAATTATTTTTCTTACAATATAAGTTGACTGCTGGCAGTAGCTATTCCAACTTTCCAAGTGGATTCTGACGTGTTTGGGTGTTGCTTTTGACTCATTTTGGATTTTCTTGTGAAATATCACCTCAAAAAGAAATTCGTGTTCGAGTTTTGAAAAAGAAAGAAAAAAATATTCTGATTGAAAGTGTTTTTTCCTTTAATGAATTTTATGTGGTATAAATTTGAATTACTCGAATCTCAAAATGAATAATGGATATAAACAAGTTACCTTTGGTTCTTTTTGGCTTCGAAGTGTTACACTTTGAAGCTCCAACAAGTCCTAAAGTCTTTTGTCATCTAAAACTTTGCTAAAAAAATGTTGCTTTACGTTTGGTTCTATGTACTTATATAATGCTATGCGTTCTCTACTTTTGAATTTCACAAAAAGAGAATGTGGTTTTTCCTTTTGACTTTCTCTCTTATTCATGAAGCGAAAAAAAACTTTGTCCGAAAATCCAAAAGAATCTTACAAAGAAATTAGTATTATTTGCCATTTTCATGTGGTTGTTGAAATTTACTCGTTATAATAATAATAATTATAAATATAGTTTAATTACCTTAAATAATTGAAATATGTGTGAAATTTCAGAAAGTAAAAGCATTTAAAAATATACAAATGAAACGCAAAAAAAAAAAAAAGATAAAAGAAGGATTACAATATAAGAGTTAAAGTTTTTAGAAAATTATTCTAGTCATCTCTTTTGTTTAATTTGTTTTATTTAACAAGCTAACTTAATTGAAAGGCCATAAGTCTTTTTTTTTTTTTTGTAACCAAAGAAAAGAACTTTCATATAGTTTTTCAATTTTCATTTTTTTTAATAATCGTTTTTTTAGTAATTCTTTTCCGAATGACATTGTAATCAATTCATCAAATCTTTCTTAGACATTATTTAAAGAAGTCATCTTTTAGATTGTAGTAAAGTTTCAACTCTCACTCCTTTTCCTTTTAAGTAACGTGATTCATGTTCTATAGTTGGCATATTTGAATCCCAATATACAACAAAAAAATCACTAATAGAAATAAAAGATTTTTTTCATCATGAATACTAAGAAATTTATGATATAGAATTAGGATCGTCTCAAGCATATTAGTTACCAAAAGCCAAACATGAATTCAGGAGTGGCTAATTCTTGAAACATAGTTTATTCTTCTAGTTTTTTTAAGATGCAAAGTCGTTAATATATTATAGCTAAAAATAAGGGCAAACAACAAAAATATCACTAGTTTAGGGTCTAATTACATATCTTTTGTGAGTTGGCGAAACTTCCATTCGTGCCAGATTTCGGTTCCTAGATACATGTATTTGGCGCATCCAGATACATGTATCTCAGACACCATGGAGTCGAAATTAGGTATAATTTGTTCTAGATATATTGTATCCAAGTGAATTCACATGTATCTGACTCTTTAGCTCGCCTCTCTCCCGTGTCACTCGCCTCTCTGCCTCTCTCACCCGTCTTTCTTCCTATGTATCTGTATTTTAGAATGTATTTGATATCCTTGATACATGTATTTAGTGTGATTCACATGCATATATATGAGATACACAAGCTCTCTCGCTCGCCTCCCTCCTATTTGGCTCCTCTCTCTCTCTCTCTATATATATATATATGTAGTATGTACATATATTTCAATGTGATCAAGTAACAAAAATACATGTATCTAAATGTATTTAATTTGAAATCTGATATAAAATTATTAGTTAGACACCATATGTAATTATTTTAAATTATTGAAAAAAATAATAAATATAATAAAAATATTTATGTAGTTAGATAATTTTTTTTTTAAAAAATAAAGCATGCCTTATTTTCAAGGCCTAGAGCCGGCCTGTTTATAGCACTCTATTCTCTACAACGAAAAGAATAATATATGTCGACAAGTCAACAATATATAATGTGCGTCCTAGTCTTAATTCTTAAGTCTTGTTCATGCAAAGTCAACTTTAGTCCTAATTAAAAGCCACCTAAAATGAAAACTATGGGGCCACAAAAAATCATATACTAGTTATTATTATTATTATTAGGTTTAATAATTTGATTATTTTTATACGTATATCATTGATGATGCTTATATATCCTTAAAATTTGTTTAAGAAAATGATTGATTTTAATTTGTAAAGGAGGAGGAAAGAAATCGTTAGGGATTATTAAAAGACCTAAACTGATTTAGATTTATTATAAAATTAATAGGCCTATGAATTATGATGCAGTGGCGTAGCCATATATAGTGAAGGGTGATCAGTTGAGTACCCTTCATAGAAAAATCATATTATATATATAAAAAATTATACGAAGTTAATTTTGCGTATCACAAATTACTTTTTGTGAGTATATATTTCTCTTGTGTATTCTTAACAAAATTTTTGACTTATTGCTTCTATGATGAACAAGTAAATTTGAAAATTATCATTTATATTTAACGGAAGTGCTAAATGGCCAGAAAATTGAAAAACTATAATATTTTTTTTATTTTAAAACAAACTGATCTTTTTTTCCATTTTTTAGTTAAAATGTATTTAAGTTAAAAGGGTAAAAATATTTAAAAAGTTAAAATAACATAAAAAAACTATCATTTTGACCAAATTTTCTGGCAAATTTTTTCCCCTATATTTAATACCTCTTTCGAAAACCCAATCGTTACTCAAGGGGGATAATACTAAGAAGAGGCTAGGAAAAAATGAAAGGGAAATGCAATAAATGGACAAAGACTTTGAAATTGTCTCAAGTCTACCCAAAAAGTATTAAAATTAATAATAAGTAGACCAATTGAGAAATTTCGTGTCAACTACAAATGTTCAAACTTAACTAACATTTAACACGTCTTATAAAGATTGCTAATTGCTATAATTAGCCTCATTTCGCCTTCTAATCATCAGTTGTCAGATTATATTTGCATCGTTAACGAATTTTGGTACGTACCTAAATTCGATCGAAAATGGGAAAACTTGTATGCGCGGAGATGGATGGAGGCAGTATTTTTGATGTGAGTCCACTCTTCATAGCTATTGTTATTGCTATCCTCTTCTTATTCATTTCATGTATGAGTCCACCGCCTCGTCGCAGATTTATTGCGGTCAATCGATTTTATTGAACGATTATCAAAAGTTATGTTGCTTGAATTCTTTAGAAATATTATTTATCAGAAGTGTATTGGATCCTCCAAAAACGTACACTAGCAGTTTTGACGGGTTTGGACAACATATATCAACAAGTTAAAGCTTCATGAGATGTCATTTTTGTTCTAATACTTAATTATATAGTTTTTTTTTTTTTTGGATTTGAGTTATTATTTTATTTCTGTAAACGAATTGGGATTACAAATAATGAATTCTGATCTTTGGGGAGTAGAATTCTCTTATGTATCTTTTGTCATTAATGTTTACTCCATCTGATTCAATTTATTTGGCTTGATTCGAAGTGTGAGGATATATTAACTAATGTTCAATGCAAATTCAGATATAAAGTCTTTAATTTTTTTAAAA